GATGTAGGGGTTAAGGGTTTAGGGTTTAAGGAGAAGGATTGAGGACGAAGGATATGTTTGAGTGCCTCCTCCCCAAGCCGGGCTTCAGGGATTAAAGTTTAAGTGCGGGGGCTTGGCGGTCTTGGGGTGAACTTGGACCCCCAAGTGCAAAGGCTCACGGCTGAGACCCCAAAAAGCATCTGACCTGGAAAGCATTGTGTTTTCAGAGCTCCGAAGATCCCCCCAAGTCTCAAACCCTAAACGGTAATGGGGTCACAAAGCTCCGAGGCCAAAGCCTTCAAGGCCTCATCGGCTATGGGTAGTGGGGTAAAGGTCTGACGATGTGCGCTTGAGGTTCACTGTCCGGGCTTTCGTTGTAGGGTTTAGGGTCTAGGGCTTAGGGTTTAGGGCGCCCCAGAACCCCAACACTAGGCCTGAAACACTGCGTCACACAAGTATTAGTAGTCCTTCTGGCCTCAAGCAAAATCGGTGTCGTAAAGAAAAAGCCCCAAGAAGCCTGCTCTACCCACTTAGGCACTCAAACCTAGTTCATGGCTGGGATAATCCTATTTAATCTATTTTTTGACTCTTTGTTGAGTTGAAGTACCCATAAAAGGACCCTAAACCCTTAACCCCAAACCCCAAACCCTAAACCCTAAACCCTAAACCCCAAACCCCCAAACCCTAAACCCTAAACCCTACACCCGACCATGGCCTAGGAACCCCCGAGCTCCCGACAGCTTCAAGTCTAGGAGATCGTCGAGCTTCAGATCCCGAATGCCGCAGCCCTTCCGGCCGCAGGAGATGTTAGTTTGGCCTAGAATTATAGTACTAGCAATGATGATAATACTATGAATAAGAATCAGAAGAAGAAGAACAAGAATAATAAGAATAATAATAGACTTGTTCCTTGTTTTTATGATGATGATGATGATGATAATGATGAGGATGATAATACTAAAAAAACAATAACACAATAGCAAGAGTAGCAAGAGTAGCAATATTAGAAATAGTATGGCTTTAAATATTAAACCCTAAACCCTAAACCCTAAACCCTAAACCCTAAATTAACGGCCTTCGTAGTTGCAATCGGGTGTAAGCCAGTTGGGGTCGAAGGCTAAGGTTTCAGAGTTTAAGGGTTATAGAGTTAGGGGCTTACGGCTTAAGGTTTAGGTTTCAGAGTTTAAGGGTTAAGGGTTAAGGGTTGAGGGTTTAGGGTTTAAGGTTAAGGTTTCAGAGTTTAAGGGCATAGGGTTTAGGGTTTAAGGTTAAGGTTTCAGAGTTTAACGGTTTAGGGTTTAGGGTGCAGGGTTTAAGGTTAGGCTTCAGAGTTTAAGGGTTTAGGGTGGTCAAGGTTTCAGAGTTTAGGGGTTTAGGGCTTAGGGTTTACGGTTTAGGTTTCAGAGTTTAAGGGTTTGGGGTTGAGGGTTTAGGGCTTAGGGTTTGGGGCCGAGGGTTTAGGATATACAAAACACAAGTACAACTCCTGGTATAAGCGGAAAACCCTGCCAAAAAAAGCGCCCGGACAGCAACCCGGACCCTACAAAGTTAAAGCTTAACGTTTGGGTAGGTAGTTTTCTAAATTAGGGTTTAGGGTTTAGGGTTTAGGGTTTAGGCGAACCCAAGAAAGGGACCCTAATGTAGAGAACTACCCGTTGAACATCTAGTGTTCGGGGTTAGGTTTAGTGGCTTGGGGTTTAGGGCTTTAGGGCCTAGGGCTTTAGGGTTTTAGGGGTTAGGGATTTAAGAGTTTAGGGTTTAGGGTTTGGGGGTTTAGGGTTTAGGGTTTAGGGTTTGGGGTTTAGGGGTTTAGGGGTTTAGGGTTTGGGGGTTTAGGGCTTCTGAGGACTGGCCTTCTTGAGGAGCAGCTCGTCGACCTCCGCCCTGATGCCCGCAAGAATCGCCGGATCGCCGTAGACGTGGGACATCAGCCACCTGATCGTCACCTCGCGGCGGCATGCATAGGGTTTAGGCTTTAGGGCTTTAGGGCTTTAGGGTTTAGGGTTTAGGGCTAAACCCTAACCCC